CTCCAACACCTCACCGAACTTCTCCCAGGAATCAGCCTTGGCTTTTGCCCCTGCTATGGCTGCCGCCTTGGGTGCCTCGACATATCGCACTCGTGTAGGTGGCTCCTTGTTTCCAAACCATTTCTTGAACGCTGCTTTTTTCTCTTTAACTGCCAGTTGTACCTCTCGTGTCCACTAGGACAATCTTTTCTGACCTCCGGGCTGTAGGCCAACCCATTTAAATCCGCAGCATTCGGCGGCAGCCTCGAGTATGCCGCCATTAAAGAGCTCCCATTTTGTTTATTTGCCAGTGGTCATAACTGAAACTATTCAAACCATCATGCAATGTTGTTTGTAAGTTTCGTTCACTGAAGTTAATGTTTCCCATTTGATTCTCTGGTTGTTTCTGCCACCACATCTTCACATAGTATTTCATTATTTATGGCAGAGAGTGCCAGTAGCAAGGTGGTGATCGGTCAACAGCTCTGAGCCTCTTTTAACTGGAACATCTATTAGAAAGTATCGTAAGTAAGACGATATGATTATCAGATCACTCATGGACTTCTGTGCGCAGTTTTCCCTGTACAAGATGCGCTGTTGCACAGTTTGAAGCTGGAAGAAGGTGTTCATAATGGACAGTCCGTTGTTTGCACAAAATCACGAGAAATGCCGTTATGCTTTTTAATCCCTCTTGATCGAGTGAGCTTCTTCAGTTCATTGTGTTAAGGATTTGGAGGTCTTCTTCCTACTGGCCGTTTATTTCTCTTGGAATTCGGCCTAATGTTTCTCTAGTCCAACGGTAGTCGATTCTTCTTGCAACTTGTCCTGTCCATTGCCTCGATAACTTTTTCTCTCAGAACATGGTCTCTCTGGGGCCAGGCCATTTTAGCAAATGGGAATCGATTACTGAGAAATCAGCAGAATCAAAAAAATGACCTGGAGCACTTCTGGTAGACTGAGAATGTTCCTATCCGGAAAAATGCCCTTGTGCTTGAAAGGTATAGTTTTTTATCAGTGTGCTGCCAGATTCAACCTATGGGGTCGAAACGTGGACCTTAAGCCTGAAAGTCGTTTTTAAACTGTGAACTGTAGACTGTGGAATGCAGCACGGACAGATGTTTCTGAGGAATGACAAGGAACAAGAAAAGATGGAAGACGAATGAACGGATAAGCGCACATACTTAAATTATACTTGAATAAAACAGCATGACGTATTTTCTGAACGTAACGGTTGAGTAACCGTCTTTTGGATGCTTTATATTTTTAGTGGGAATCGTTCGAGATTCCAGAGCTACAGAATTTCCTGCAGATTCTGGACATCGAAGAAAAGCAATACACGGAACGGATAAAAAAGTATTACCAGCGCTATCGTTATTTCTTGGAAATGGAAATCATTGAAAGGCTTGGTTTGTCACCTTCCTTCAAAGAAGCGGAAGGCGTTTGCTGCCAGTAGCATCTGCGGTATGTACCAACTTTGGACGTTTCTAAGTTCATGGCTCAAGATGATGTATGAAGTGACTTTCATTTGTTTCATGTGCATTTTAAAATCATGTTGTGCAGCTGTTGCATGTATTCAGTTATTCATATTGGAATTTATATATGGGCATTGTTTAAAACACCGTTTGTTTCTCTGACCATGACTGATCAGTTGAACATTTTCATGGCTCAGTGATTAGGACACTCAACTGTAGAGCAGCAGTGGCAAGGTTCCCTAAAATGGTCATCTCCTTTCTTGACGGAGACTGGTGACATTGTTATGAACTGCTGCACATGATCGAGGTCAGGTTGAAGTTGTGACACAGTGTCAAAATATTAAAAGCTTATTTCCTCTTGAGTACCAATTGCATGCTATTCAGACTGCGAGATGAAATATTGGAATATGGATTAGTAACTTTACCTCGATTTTCAATTATATGCAAAAATGAAGAGTTTGATTTCACATATGGGGTTTCCTGCCAGAGTATATTGGTTTTTTTTTATTACTAGCCCTGTTCTGGTGCTCTTCCGGTCATTTACCAAAACACTGACACTGCTGTAAGCACGTCTTTCAAAGGTTACGCTCTAGCATTTGGCATTTCTATTGCCGACAGATGTTCTTTGAATCGTAGGAAGTTACGTTACTCCGACTACAAGTCCACGTTTGTACATTCTGTCGCAGTCGTCATTGCTTTTCTTATGAACTATGTTGAAAACTTCAGCTGGGTTGCTACGATAGACCTTTCAGAATCCTAATCACTATCAGTATCGTTAATGAAACGTGTCAGTTGCTTCAGAACTCAGCATAGTTGTTCTATACACATCTGAATTTCATCAAATGCATGTGTAGTTATAAAGTTAATATATCAGTAATTTTTTTAGTTTTTAGTTCAGGACAAAGTAAAATTATACAAATTCGCGTTTATTTCCAGCTTACCAACTATTATAGCGGTGAATAAATACGATTTATGTGCATATATAAAGTATTTTAGATACTACTACAAAATCCTACCCGAAATCAATGCACTGGTGACTTTGATTCTCTGACAGTGATTATATCGGATCTCGTTCTTCGCCGTGTTAGACCATGTTATCAAGATGTCTGACTCTTTTCCCAGACAGGAACTGAAGTCTCTCCTCTAAGATAAGAAGTCAGCCAAGTTAGAGGAGGTACAAAAGGCCGCTGCCATTTCAGCCAACGGCTGGCTTATTATACTTGCTAAAACAGCACGTGGAAATTGACCTTGGTTCCCTGCACATCCCTCGGCCTGCATTCTGGTGACGTGCAAAATTGGAGTGATGAGACACTGCAAAGAATCTGTAATACTAGGCCCCTAAAAAGGAAACGTACTTGGACTTACCTCACGATGCGCACTTGCAACTGCAGGACCCTCACTAGGGAAGGATCCTTTAATCATCAAATATCAGAGAAGTCCAACGTAACATGCGGCGTGCTCGGTTTTTGTGAAACGCGAAGATGCAATGCATTAGACGGTAGATGAACGAGCGGCAGCTGATTATTGTCGTCTTCTCATTTCAGCAGATGATTGTAAAGGCTAATTAAATAAGAGATGCGCCATCCTGTGAGGAGGTTCGGTCAGGTGGCTTTCTTAGATTTTTTCCGGCTATTATTCGCCGTACTTACTCGAGCACTATAAACGTTCAACAAAATGCTACAATCTATCTATCGTACGTATTTGTCTTGCCTGTAGTGGATTAGCATAAGGTTTCGTTTCTTCGCATTACAGTTTTATTGACCTTTATGAATTTCATGTCATTATTATTCTCTGTGTCGTACTTAAGGTAGCCAATCATTTTCTTGTTTATTTGCATTCTGGGCGGCATATAGTGTACGGTACGGTAGATGACCAGTAACTACTACTTTCTAACAAATAAATAGATATTTAAACGGTGGTTTACAAGCAAAAGGCTGAAGTCCTCATTCCGGATCACGAAGAGATGACTCCGTCCTCTGATTATAGTAGAGAGCCGTGCAGCGGCATGGAAGATGTCAGGCTTGAGATTAATTCTAAAGCATGGTAATTTTTTTTACCTGGACAATAGTCAGTTCACTGCTTGTCAGTGAGTGACTACCACTGGTCCTGCTTTAACCTGTTGCAGCTTGCGTTTCAGTGCGGTTTCACTCTAGTCATGTGATCATTATTAATTTACGTTTGTATGAATTGAATTTCATATATTCAAAATATGCGTACAGCAACGTAATGGACAACATACAGGTACAGCCTAGTTGTAAAATCACCGCTAACACTAGCCAAAAAAGAAATATTGCTGTTGTATAGAATCTGTGATTTTATAAAATTAAAACGTAGTCGTCGATTCTTGCTAGTCGATTCTCAAGAATGTTATGATATATGGCTTCGTAAAATGATTTGATTCATATTTTTAGAAACAGTCGTATAGCTGCTGCTTGCTAGTCGTATAGCTGATTGGTTTGCTCTATGTTCTGCTGCGCAGCAACATCCACAGCTGTGGCGTAATATCTTCGATGCTGTACGTCGAACTGAATGTTGCGTTGCTGTTTTGTGTTTATCTTGTTGTTTACGAAAGTTAAATGTGTGCAATGTGCAAAACATATAGATGTTTCCTCATCTGTTTTTCAAACTGTTTGATCCTCTTTCCGACCAATCATGCATTTCCCTCTTCTTGATCCATAGGGCGACACACAAGCACCTTTATTTAAGCTAAGCCGTTCAATTTATGTTTTCATTATCAAAAAACCTATAAATCATTAGACAGAAAATAAGTTAATACTGCTACAGTACTAATACCGCAAACAAATCGGAAGGTTCAGTTATGATTATGAAGGCGGTAAAAACTTTTAAGTCAGGGATTCAATGCCTTAGCCGGTTTCAAAGTTAAGTCGAGGAATTTCTTCTTCGATGATGTAGCTTCATACATGACATGAATCATATTTATGAACTGTAGCTGCGTGGCAGTTCGTTGTGTCTGAAGAACTGAGTTTTTCTGAACAGAATCAAGCGCTTAGAAATATCCAAATTTACCATATATGGCGGCCTAATGTTCCGGATATATCTCATTCATGTCACTATCATCATATCCTCTGATTTTCTGTTCGTAGGCGAAGAGTCGTGCTGATTGCCCTTACGTTATTCCATTTTCAGTTTCAGGGTTGCCAATCAACTGCTATGTAGTGAAAACGTGGCTGATAGTACTGTTTTTGAGGGATGGTATCGCGCGTTTTTAGACTCGGATCCTTTAAAAATAAAGAGGGTACGATTCAATTTAACTTGATTCGTAGTCTTCTCAGTCAACGGTCATGGATTAAAGTGGAGCATTGAGGTCACCATTATACACAGTATACGGAACGTCAGACTATAATGGCCTGGCGCTGCCCTTAAATTATCTTTAGTCCGTTATCCATATCTGCAACGCTCTTTGATCCGAAGATGTTATTAGCATTGTACAATTTAAAATGAAAATTTGTCAAAATGAATTTTAAAATCATCCAGCATATGAGTCAACACCACCTCAAGTGTAGCAGCCTGTTCACTGTGAAATATGACGACCAGCTTTGGTTACGATGTCATGAATTGCCGTGTTTGCGGAATTCCTTTTTGTATCAGCATATTGCACATCGCCAGAGAGAGTACATACTCTACATATTCATCGACCGTTCGATTTCCTAAGAGTCGGCAATTCAGATATAGCCTTATGCTGATTGATGAACAACGTGCAATCTGTTGAAACAGCCGTTGATAACGTTCTCTTAAAGCGATATCGCCATTTTCATCATAAAGTGTTTCAAATCAAAGGTAGATTATGGATGAAGTACTATTTTGGTGAAGTAATTTATGATTGAGCCAAGTTCAGTTAACACGAGTGCTGGTGAGAAATCACGCTCAATAATTAAGCAATAAGTCTCTGAGCAGGCGTCGACATCAGAAAGCAGGCTCAAGCCCGTGTTAATGTTTCAGAAGGGCCCAACCTGGTTGATTCAGAATTATTGAACGGAGCCTGGCAGCGGAAAAGTAGCAATCCTCTGACTGAAGCAACCACAAGCTAAAGCACTCAATTTGCACTTATATGCGCTCAATTTGGATGGGGAATATGTGTCCTTAAGGAAGTAGGAGACTCTGTTCAAAAATTGCCGACTACGTAGTCTTCCATTCTGATGGGCGATTTCAAAGCATATATCGATGTAGACACCTTAAAAATTCTACTGCTCTTACAGAAAGACTAGCATTATAAGCCAACAAAAGAAAATTTGGATCTACGAAGCCACGAAATAAAGGCAAACAGGAAGAAGGCTACGTCACATTGAGTAATTTCAGGTGTTATTAGGTCTGACGTTCATGGAGCATCGTAAAATGCAGAAAGCTGCTATTCTGTACGAATACAGAGTCTGTTTTTATATGCTGTGCTACGCAGAAGATCACATGCGACACGGTTCATGAAATCTTTTGCAAGAATCGTAATTGCTCCCTTGAAACGAAGTGCACTGAAGCAGTCACTTGAGTAATTGAACTTACCGATCACACTAATGTACTGTAGGCATCATTTTCACACAGTGACAGAACAGTTACCTGCGGAACAGAATGGGAATCCTCAAGCTAAAATAAAAGAATTTTCTACAAAATATAACAAAGAATGAGCTGGCAGGAAAAAATATCTGAACTCTAAGAATAGAGCAGAATAGACGCTT